TCGATAAACTAAAAGTAAAGTTAATTCACGGTGTCAATATGCAAAACAGTGCAGTTTTTTTATTTAACTTATTATAAGTCAGTGGTTGGTCACAATCCCATCTGATGGTAAGTGGTGATGTAGCCCTAAATTGTATATCGCACTGCCGTAGCGTAACGAAAACTTATTCACTCTTAATGTTTTATTATATTTACGCGAACACTACACATTGATTAAACTAAAGTACTTTCTATTCACTCTTGCCTTGAAGACGCTCAGATTGTATTCGGACGGAAATATAGACACCGGTAAATTATTCCACTCCTTTGTCGTACGCATTACAAAAGACGAAGCGAACCGTTGGGTTCTAATGCGTGGAATATCGAAAACCGACCATCTGGTTGTCCGATCGTGAAGTGGAACGGAAAGTTGGAGCCAGGGTGAAAAGACATGCGTTGAATTTCACGAAATTGGCATCGCCCCATTCGGAGACTGCCTGCAGTGAAAGATTCGCACGATTGTCCCGAGAATTCGGCTAGTAACTCTCCAAAACTGTGCTGTCGTCTGCATATCCATAGATACGGGGAATAAGCAGATCATTAATATGCAGCAGGAAGACTTGCGGAGCCGTTCTTTCCGCAACTCCAGAGGAACTCCGGTGTTTGTCGCGATAGCATTCGACGAATAGACATCGATGACGACTCGGAGAGATGTTCACTCAGAAAGTCCTTCACCCAGTCAATCAGGCCAGGGATGAGCCGTACGCTGGAAGCTTGCCGAAAAGGCTAGCGTGCCAAACCCCTGTCAAAGGCCTTCGAGACATCAAGAGAAAACAGCAAGTGTTTCCCCACTGTTCCCGAAGGATTCTCTCCATATTTACTGCTTTATTTATACACCACAAATATTATGTAATTAAAAGAAATATTATGTACCACAGGCAATATTATCACTGAAAGTGATTTCTTCCAGAACACCTTTACGTAAATAACTTTTTTTATAGAAGAGGGGGCAAACGAGCATATGGTTCACCTGATGTTAAGTGACAACCGCCGCCCATGAATATCAGGCCGCAATATCAGGGGAATTGCAGGTGCGTTGCCGGCCCTTTAGAAAGGAGTAAGCTCTTTTCTTGAAGGTCCCCAGGTCGTATCGGTCCGGAAAAATCGCCGGTGGTAAACTATTCCACAGAGAGGTCGTACGCGGAAGAAAACTCCTAGTGAAACGTACAGTGGTGGACCGCCAAGCATCCAGATGGTGTGGATGGTATCGGGAGGTTTGTCGCGTAGTGCGTTCATGAAATTTGGCGACTGGGATTAATCCGAACAATTCCTCAGAGCCCTCCTCGTGATAGATGCGGTAAAATACGCAAAGAGATGCAACATCTCTTCGCAGCGCCAGTGAGCCGAGCCGATCGGAAGCACTCGGTCGTCGACGATTCGAGCCGCTTTACGCTGGACGCGGTCAAGTGGAAGGAGCTGGCACTGGGGAGCCCCAGCCCAGAGATGGGAACATTATTCCATGTGCGGTCGAACCTGCGTCTTGTAAAGTTGCAGGCGGTGTGCTGGCATGAAATACAGTCCCGCTGTGCTGAGCACGCTAAGCTTTTAGAGGCCAATTTGGCATTCTTTTCCTAGTGACCACGAAACTGCACGTCACTCGATATATCGACGCCGAGAATTCCGATACTGGCTGAGGCAACAAGGGGAGTGCCTTGAAACTGAAGAGATACAAAGGGGTTCTTTTTGACGGTTAACGCACAAACTTGTGTCTTCTGAGGGTTAAACTGGACTAGATTTAGTCGCCTCCAATCCGAGACTTTGTTCAGCAAAGACTCGACTTCAGGCACAAGTTTGTCTCGGTATTCGGAGACGTTTTCCTGAGAAATATTGGCACGGCCGGTGTACAGAGCATCACCAGAGCATCCGTATCCTCATAGCCATGAATGTTGCCGGTTTGCAGCATATCATTGATATGCAGAAGAAACAACGTTGGTGATAGCACGCAGTCTTGTGGAACACCATCATTAATAGGCTTGTAATCGGAGCTTGCACCATCTACAACGACTTTGATGCTCCGATCTGCAAGAAAGCTTGTGATCCAATTGCACAATTTCTCGGGAAGCCCATAGGAAGGGCTTTGTGTCAAACCCGATCGAAGGCTTTCGCAATGTCCAAACTAACGGCCAATACGTTGGCCGTTACCGTTGCCTTGGACTCTACTGCCGCCGCCCATATATGAGTCAGGTAGACCAGAAGATCACCAACTGATCGACCTCGACGGAAACTGTATTGGCGATCACTAATCAGCTGATGATCCTCAAGGTACCTCATGAGCTGACAGTTTACAATGGACTCCATTGTTTTGGAGAACAAGGAGGTGATGGCGATGGGCCTGTAGTTGGATGGGTCTGAGCGGTCGCTTTTTTTAGGGATCGGTGGACGAGAGCCATCTTACATGATTTTGGGACTACGCCTAGTGAGTAGGTGTACCAGAAAAGACGCGTTAAGACCGGTGCCAACTCTGGAGCACACGTCCTCAGCACAATTGAGGGGATACCGTCAGACCCACTCGACTTGTGGATGTCCAGGGAGAGAAGTGCTTTACGAACCAAGCGCTGTGTGAACCGCACCTCCGGCATGGCACTCACAGCGCGGGATGGTCGGCGGCGTACTCTCCCCGTCATCAAGTTGTCACTATTGTGTCAAGTTGGGCGTAATAAAAGAACCTAGCAGATCGGCTTTCTCCTTTGCGGCATGGGCCAGTGAGTCGTCTTCCCTGTGATGAGATGGAAGAGATGGCAGAAATTCCCCTGGACAGCCTTGGCGAGAGACCAGAATGCACGGGTTCTAGAAGGAAGGCGAACTAGTTTCTCGCCAAATCTGCCTATGTGAGAAGCAAAGTGGCCGTGGAAGGAAAAGGGGAGATCTCTCGCCGGGCAAGGTGTTTTACCCGGGGAGCGTATAACGCTTCGTATGATAGTTCGGAGATGTTCTATATATACTGTTTATGATTCGGAACTTTTGATAGCGCGATTTAGGCTTCGGTGTGCTTCGCTTATGACGCAACGACAGCGGCGCCACATCATCCCTCTGCTCAGACCGGAGGTCGACAGTGCAGTCCAATTGCCGGTGCGTCCTTAATGCCGGTGGGGAATGCATGCTGTGTGCGTAAGGGCAAGCGACACCGGTGCGAATAATATGCCGATGTGTAATGCATGCCGTACTATGTACTGGCAAGTGATGCCGGTGTGAACGATGTACCGGAGCAAGTATCAGAAGTCTGCCTTATAAATCTGCGGTGAGTCGAGATGAAGACAAGTTGGATTGGTTTGCAGGAACTGAAGACTGCAGAAGACGATTCTCAGTAATGAATGGTAGGGGTTCTTGAGGATAATGACGAAGGCTTGAAGTTGTAGTTTCCGAAGGTTGTTGGTTGCGTGTTCAGATCACGTCGGATGGTCACCACTGTGGCCGTGGAAGGAAAAGGGGAGATCCCCACCGGGCAAGATGTTTTGCCCGGGGAGCGGCCAACGCTCCGTGTGATAGTTCGGAGATGTTCTATATATACTGTTTATGATTCAGAACTTTTCTTCGGCGTGTTTCGCTTGCGGCGCGCCGCCACACCCGTAGACGCGCGGATGGTCGTCGCTGTCTACGCGTAGCCAAAGGATGGACAGGTCTGAACCTTCAAGACTGCCGAGGCGTCGAAAACAGATGTCTTCTCTGACGTATACGCAAACTCCCGCCCGAGGCACAAAGAAGTGTTCCAGTTTGTACCCCGGGTAGGAGAGATACGAAGCATCAGCCGGAGAGGACACCTGCGTCTCGGTCAGAAAGAGCAGAGCCGGCCACGCCGTCTCGAGATGGTAGTGGACGGCGTTTAGGTTAGAATTGGTATAAGATCCCGATATAAAACGACCTTCACCGAGATGCTTATTTAATGAAACGTATTTTATATTTAATTTAATATGTCTATAAATATAATCCATATGGGTTGCCTAGCAAATTTCAGTCCAGAGTATGTTTGATTAATAATTAAAAAAAATTATTTTTTTAAACATTTCACCGGTATGATTATTAGATAAATTCTATACCAATCGAAAGTATGAAGCCCATAGAATATGCAAACTTTAGGTTGCCTATTCTTTTCCGGTCACAACTATCGGGTTGCCAGGTATAAACAGGTAAATCTGTACTAGCATTTTGCAACGGTCTGTTTATTGAATGAAATTTAAATGAAATTAAAGATTATTTTATTCTGAAAACGGTGGTATAGGGTTGCCTGCGAAAAATCAGCCCAGAATTGCGGTTGTCGAATTTTAAAAAGTAAAATATTGCTCCGAGTGAATGTGTGCGACTGAGAGGTCCCAACCGACCATGCCATGCGATAGAAGAAGACACAGCATAGCAGCTGTTTAAAGTCCGCCCACTTAAAAAAGAGAGTGCGCATGCTATTTGGGCTTGGAAAAGAAAAGGATAGCGATAGACTCGTATATACTATGCATCATTTTGGAGTATAGTGTCGCTATAAATACAATTGAAAAAACGTGCTACTATTTATTGTTGGAAAAAAATGGCAAAAAAAGTGTTTTTTGTATGGATCGGATGATGAAATAATTGATTTTAATGATGAAACTTTTAAAAACTGTGTATTAAAGTTAGCTTTTCGTAAAAAAAACACTTTAAATACAATTTTGTACTTTAAAAAAAAATTTTTGCAAAGCCTTAAAAATTATCGCTTTAAAGAGGCTCTGGTGCTGTTTCTGGCTGATTATTGGGAAAATGACCATTTAGTAACAATAATCCAAAACAAAAAAAAATATTTTTAACCGTCGACCATCACTGCTATTCTTATCAAGTTCAGGAAAATTCCGTAAAAAAAAAACTGAAGAAACTAATTATGAATGTCATCACGAAGAGGCAGATACAAGGATTATTTTTCATGCTTCTAAAGCGGAACCAGACTCAAGGATTTTAATAAAAGCCTCTGATACTGACGTTTTGATAATTTTGTTAGGAAATATGCACAAACTTATTGAATCAGAAATTTGGCTTGCCTGTTCAGCAACTAGAAAGACTAATAATCAAACTGTTGATTGCATTAATTGCACCGATTTAGCGTTGAAGTTGGGAATTAAATTATGCCAAAGTCTTCCCGCCTTCCATGCATTTACAGGTTGCGATTACACGGCAGCCTTTTACAACAAAGGGAAAGTAAAACCTTTTCAGGAATTTTCGAAAAATGAAGAATATCAAACCGTTTTTGCACCATTAACAGATGCTGCTGATATTTTCATTGATGAAAAAATGAAGACCGTTCAAGAATTTGCGGCTAGTATGTACGGTATCAGGAACTGCACCAGTGTGAATGATGCGAGACATCATATTTTTATGAAAAATTACTCTGCAAAAGAAGACAGCGAGCACTTTTTAAAAAAAATAAAAGGCTTCGACTCCAACTCTATACCACCATGCTGGATATCATTAACTCAGAAAATTTTACGAACTATTTTCGTAAATTCCATGTGGCTTAATGCAACGGATCCAATATACGTGAAACTTGAGCCTGAGAACTGCGGATGATTCTTAGATGAATATTAAAACCAGTAGGATTCATTGGGGATCATACACCTTTAAAGATAGAAGACATTGTCGAAAAAAGTGAAACAGAGAGTGATGACGAGGAAGATTCAGAAGTTGAAGATCGTAGTTTTATGTCCGATGACTCGGATTCTGAATAATTTAAAAAAAATTGTATTTTTAATTTTTTACAATAAATAGAAGTAATTTTTTATTGTTGTTTTTTATTTTGTCTTATAATAAAAATAAAATTTGCAAGATTTCCCTGATTAAAAAAATTCACTTTTATGGGTTTTGAATTTTTTCCAATAGTTTCAATTGATTTCAATTTCTCTGTTTAGATTTATAGATTTATAATTTGCATGTAGTAAATTTTTTTTTAATTTTTTTCAATCAATATTTTTAATCAGGGTAGTATTATATATGTATCACTATAACCTCCTTTTTTACTAAAGATGTATATATACTTTAGTGTCACATAAAAATATACACATAAATAATTAATTGATTAAAAAAAATTTAATAACTATTTCTCTATTTAAATAATAAACTACTCCAAAAATGATGCATAGTATATACGAGTCTATCGCTATCCTTTTCTTTTCCAAGCCCAAATAGCATGCGCACTCTCTTTCTTTAAGTGGGCGGACTTTAAACATCTGCTATGCTGTGTCCTCTTCTATCGCATGGGATGGTCGATTGGGACCTCTCAGTCGCACAGATTCACTCGGAGCAATATTTTACTTTTTAAAATTCGACAACCGCAATTTGTGTTCAGAATAAAATAATCTTTAATTTCATTTAAATTTCATTCAATAAACAGACCGTTGCAAAATGCTAGTACAGATTTACCTGTTTATACCTGGCAACCCGATAGTTGTGACCGGAAAAGAATAGGCAACCTAACGTTTGCATATTCTATGGGCTTCATACTTTCGATTGGTATAGAATTTATCTAATAATCATACCGGTGAAATGTTCAAAAAAATATTTTTTTTAAATTATTAATTAAACATACTCTGGACTGAAATTTGCTAGGCAACCCATATGGATTATATTTATTGACATATTAAATTAAATATAAAATACGTTTCATTAAATAAGCATCTTGGTGAAGGTCGTTTTATATCGGGATCTTAGACTAAATGAAGTCCCCTGATATCGCAGAAATTCACGGATAGCGTGGCAGGGGTCACCTTGATCTTGTTGCTCAGTTTGCCCCGTGCAGTTATTGTCTTGAGCGGAATTTACCCCCTCACCCCACCAGAATACGCGGGGCAGCCTGAGCACCCATGCTCAGGAGTGGAGTAACTTGGTCGTGGATGCTCAGCGAGGGATTCTCCAGGGGTGCTGGTACCCTCCTGCAGTAAATCTTTACTTAATTCCGCTACCATGTTAAAGGGGGGGGGGGATTGGGCCTTCGGCCACCTACACTCACCGGACGAAACGCGGAAGCAAAGCTTTCACTTCACGCCGGTATTCTGTGAGGTCGTAATACCACCCTGTTTTGAGCAAAGCTGTCGCGTGGCTCTACCGCTGTTAAAACTATATATGTATAAACTATGGTTAAATGTGGAAAAATTAATGAATGGTTTTATTAATTTTAAAAATTGGTGCATATATTCTGGAATTAAACATAATATAATCCACATTTTTGGTTTTTCAAGTCTTAAAAAGATTGTGCAGTTTGTATGAAAAATTGTATTAAGACGCACAGTCCAAAAAGCTAGACGTAAAAATCTAAAATTTGGATGATAGCTGCCTTTTATAACTAGGTATCTACTAAGAAAGGATATTGGAAAATTCATCCCTTAATAAAGGGAAATATAGCATGTTACAGTTTCTATGATTCTTACTGAAAGTACTCTGTAAATAAAATAAATTAAAAAGTATTTTGAGATTTTTCAAATCTATCACTTACGGAGGCCTATAAGGTGTTTCTTTTGTATGGAGAAAATTTAATTAAAGTATTTTCAATTACAAAAAAATCAAACAAAAATTACCACGTGGCAAATTTTCATTATTGTGTACTAGATAAATGTAATAACAAGTTATACAAAGATTCTGGTTCTATATACCATATTTTAGTATAACTAAGGCCTTTACATTTTGAAATTTAAGGGTTTACATTTTGAGAAGTGACAAGTGCGAGTGGCAAGTGCAACTGACAAATGGCAAGTGCTTAGAGGGTATTCTATTCACACTTATCAATTGTTACTGCCTGTTCACATGCACTACTTGTCTCATAATGCTATCCGGGCCCGACACTAAAAATACTTGGTGTTATAAAAAACCTTATAGTTATCGACTGGATAATACCTTTCCTTTACTTTACAAGACAATACCCATAGACTACTGTATATATACTAGAGAACAATACCTTTATGCTTTCGACATAATATTATACATTTTAATTTTTAATTCATCTTGTTTATTATATAGGTTATACAGCAGCAACTATTTGGAAGTACGAGATGATACCTCGATGTCACTGAGTCCACTCAAAAAGGTAAAACAGTCAATTGTTTTTAACTGAATAAGGGTAACAAGTGACACAGTCCACTTGATGTAAGTGGATGCTATAGACCATAGATGTCTATGTCTATCCTTGATTAAGAATCAAAATGCAGATGCGTTGTCACCTCTGAGCACTAAGATAGAATGCCTCGATTCCAGGAAAAAGGGTATCTGGTTCACCACACACCATATGAAACCCAGCAACATTGACCTGCTATTTGCTGATATTGTGCGAATGTGGTCCTTTTCTCGGCCGAGCTGACCCAATCGCGCTACAACCATAATATAGCTGCAACATGGCTTTACTACATAAAAAATAAACTTGAGGCTTTTTGAGTTATTTAAAGCTGTCTTTTACATATATTAAAAGTATTACAATTTTTTTTATATATAATCCTTAAGATATAAATTTCAATTAGTCCCTAGTCTTTGACCATATCATTACACAATAATAAATGTAAAAACCTAAACATATTGATTATATTTTCTTTGGAAAAACTATTCTGTGTTACACACACTAACAGCTCCGTCACATACTGTCCTAATCAATTCAAAGTTAATAAAAGTAAAGAATAGTTTTAAGACAGTGAAACTACATAGGCATTAAAATGAAATTTTATTCATTATAGTGATCTCTTTCTTAAGCGACATAATATACCTTAACAAACATAAGCAGTAAAATTTAGAATGACTGGAATTCCTTAACTAATTTTCATTCATAAATATAGGCCTCCCCCATAGGAACATATTGCCTTATATGGGGAATATGTCATTTCAATTGCTTCTTCGGTCTAGTGGTCGGAAACGTGATAGCTGATCATAAGATCCTGGGTTCAATTCCAGACCCGGTCCACAAAATTAGTTTTTGAGTTTTCTGACAAACAATTCTCAGAATCAGAAATTTGGTGGTATTTCACCCCGTACCTCAGAAAGAATGTCATTGGTACTGCACCTGATCTATCTCCGGTCATGTTGGTTTTCTATCCTGTCGAAATATGAGAGTAAGGGAATAGAGTGCACCTGTGCTTGAACATATACTCAGGCATTATAATCCTGTCCTGTGGAGATGGCTAGTTCCCATTGAGACCAGTCACCATGGCCGAAATTCGGTCTGGAGAACATTATTTGTCATAATTCCAATGCTTGACAACACGACAACTGTGGTCCGTATCCACAATTTTTTATTATTTAGTGTCATTAACAGGAAGATGCGGCTGCTCATCTTCTGTTTAATGTCTCTATTGCCTCTTACAACACTCACTTGATACTATGAAGTAGTATACTTTATTTTTACTATCCATTAGCCTGACTTGGTTGACTACTATTCCACCTGACAGTAAGTATGGTAAGTACAAATTTCTACTTATATAAATAAATAGAGATCTTACAATTTCAATAGTATTTATTTACTACCACTAGAATCTTTAAATAATAATTACCAATTTAAACATGACATTGAAAATGAATCTGCATATTTTCAAAAATAAAATAAATATCATTTACATTTGAGTATCTTCAGAAAACATACAAAATGTAATATCTAAAGTCTCTTCAGGGTAATTTTCGTTTGAAAGATCCTATTAAATTGTAAACAACTGTGCATTTTTGTTGCAAAGTTTAATTTTAACATTCATATTAACATAATATTTTAACAAAATAAATGTAATGAGTTAAAACTTATACTGAAATTGTAATCTTGCATAATTATTACATTATTTTAGCTTGCGAATAAGATAATTTTCTCCTAATACATAATGTAATAGTTAAAATAAATAAAATTTATTTGATTATTTATGTCTATTTACCAAATTAATCAGTACTTTTTTAAAAAACAGGCATCATAATAAATATTTTTCACAAATAAAAATAAGTATAACAGTAAAATACTAAAATAAATTTTTGCAATTTAATAAGTTACAACTTTATTATACTTAGGCCTGACTTTAATATTATACACTGTTTTATGTACAGCTTTATTTACCAAATCTTTGATCACATTTATTATACTTAAATAAAGCACCTAAATAACTTTCTATATTTACACTATGGTCTAAGGAGAGTTGAATAAACTCTGCTAATCTAATTTGCCATGGCATTAAACCATAACTGCAACATAGTGGTCCAGTATAAAGAATTAAATCAGGATCAGGAATTGATGAGTAGATTTGAGTTAAAGCCTCTCCAAATTCCTGTGTTGTGTATTCTATTGATTTCTTTTCACACAATAGTTCACCTTTAGCTATTTGTTTTATACAATTTACTATTTGTGGTCTTCCATTCAAGTAATTAAAGATATTAATAATAACTGTATTTGCATTCATCCCATAGGTATACCCGTTTAAATCTGGTTTGTTTGACCATTTTATACAGCCTGGTATTCCTTTCTTATTTTTTTCAATAGCCCAGAAGAGCTTTTCTTCATTATGTTTCAGTTCGCCTAAAAATGATTAATAAAACATTATTTTAAGAATTATGAAAATTGCACTGAATTAATGAATAATTATAAAAACTTTCTTTAAATATATACCGGTAATATCGTAGAAACTGACGTAGGGTACACCAGTGATAAGACTCCAAATGACTACGCGCGCCAGATCGCTTATCGAATGATGGTCCGTATCGGCAAGAAATACCAAATGCTTCAACCTATTTTTCATCTTTGGTGCATGTTCCATTATTATCATAATATCACTTTTCGTCACCTCGTCACTAAATACTTTTCGTTTTTTAACCCACAACCGGTAGTAAACATTTTGAACTGCAACAAGTATATTTACAATCAGATGCACGATAGTAAATAAAAATTGCCGAATCAGTCGCGAAAGCATGTTAGACGCTGACAAGGTCCCATTTAATATTATTTAATCATTTTAGTTTTACGCTATTTTATACAGAATGACTTAAGGTCACACGATTTCTATAATGTGTGACTATTCCTCAGCCGTGCTGTCATTTTCTAACTGTCCAATCATAAGGCAAAAGGTGTAACAGCAAAAGTACCAACATTCCGTAACATTGCATTCTCAGTATATGATGCGTTCAATAATTTTATTACATTTTAATAATATTAGCCTTTAATTAAATTATTATTCCTCTAACGGTGTTTACCCTTTGTTTTTCTTTCTTCAACTTCCTTCCACGAGTTACTGGAAACAAGTTAATTTATTTTTAAAAAATATGCCTCACTTCACGGAACACTACTTTTGCCAAATCCACGTTAGCCCAAGTCACCAGTTTTGACCTGAAAATTTTCTAACACGTCTAGTGATGTAAAATATCTTATAAAATTGCATATTTTTTGCTCATTTCATATCGCATAATTGAATTTTCAAATAACGCCAGGAAAAAAAGTAATGTTACCATATTTGTCATTCTCAATAGACTTTTGGAGAGGGAACGTATTTTACAATGGCTTTAAGGCCCAGAAGACATGCCAAAATTAATAAAAAACGTAAACAGAGAATAAAAACATGTTTTACACGTTCCGTTTCAGATTACGAAACACTTGGTCATTCGTCATGTGTTTATAAATGTTCAAAATAACCAATTGCTTTTTTTATAACTTATTAATTTATGATTAGATACGATTTTTTATAGTTTTATACTATGGTGTGGAAAGGAAAAATAAGTGTACAGACCTAATCTGGCATTTGTTATAACCTCACAAACTAAATGAATAGCATTTTTAACTGGCCTCTAAATGGAAAGATGACAAGTTATTATGTTATTGAAAATAATAAATATTTTTATACAACACTAGGTGTTGGTAGATGCGACTAGTTAAATGAATCAATTGACAGGTCAATCAATGTATGAAAAGTGGACATGATTCTTGGTGACTTATACTAAATATCCATAGTTTTTAAGTGAATCTTTTCATAAACACTAATGAAGAGTCAAGTAGTCGTATGGGTTACTTTTTCAATAAGATTTGTTTTAAGAATTGTAAGCTTAGATGAATACTCAAAAATCCAGTCGTAAAATATATTTTTATTACAGATCAAAGATTTTTGTATTATTCGTAAAATTGTTCTACAAATAATTTTAAGATTTTGTACGACATTGTAAATCGCCTTTACGATAGCTTTCTTTCTGAGAAACGACCATTCGCCAACTTACGTGGCCAGTTTGGGCAACAATATAGGCGACAACAGTGTGTGTTAATTTTGTACCTAAAAAAAAGAGTAAAATGTGATTATATCCCAATGACATTCGCATCGGAAAATCAAAATAGACATGGAAAAAGTCGTTATTTTAATATCACCGTGATTATTGTTCCGGATAAACAAAGTCTCAGTGAAAAATTGCCATGACTTTGTTGCGTTGATAATGTCTTTACCTAGTTAGAACGTTCTTGGGTCGTACTAATAGAAATACACACAATTTGGTAATTTATTCAGTTTTGTTTCAGTAGTCGTTTTTTATTACCTACTTAAAGTAAGCATATGACAATGTTATAAGTGTCATTATAGTTTTAATCAGATTAGAGAATAGGAGAATGATCGCTGTAGAAAATAGTGTCCAAGAAATATGGACAAAATTAGTGAGACGCTGCGATTACTAATTGTCTCAATAAAAGCGGGCTGTTGTGCGCTAGTTTGAAATGATTATAATATCATTAAATAAAAAAAAATAACGAAATTGTTATTATAATATTTTGGGGTATCTACATTTTTTACTCATCTGCTTGGGTTCTATAAATATATAATTATAAATTAAAATGAAAGGATAAATATCAATAAATAAAATAAATACAAGAAATACATAAATGAATAAAGGTCCAACCAGATGGAAGCCCTCGGCAAAGGAGACTAAACGGCCAAGGGTCAGCCAGGGTTAGCCGCGGTATCGAGGAGCACCGCCTTCTGCATTTGAGTCCGGAGTGGTCCGTCACGGAGTCCCAGTCGCCTCAGATGACTCGAGAGGCTGACTAGGATTAGTCCATTCGCAGAGACGACTACAGAAATAATTTCGGTCGGCAGACCACCTTACATGTCGGTCATCTCGTGAGCCATGTCCAGATATTTTGTTCGCTTATCTGTTTCGGCTTTCAAGAGGTTCTCGTCTTACGGAATGGTAATGTCGATCAAAAATATCCTTGACTGTGCCCGTCTATCAGCATAATATCAGGCTTATTCGCAAGAATAGTCCTGTCTGTGATGATGGCCCGGTCCCACTGGCGTGGTCATTTTCGAGTACGGCTTCCGGCAAGTACTTGTAATACGACAATTTCCGGTCCACGAGACCGTATTTCAGAGCGAGCTCCTGGTGTAGAATTCTGGCTACTAAATTGTGCCTGTGCAAGTACTCAGAGTTAGAAAGCGCCGAACAACCGGAGATGACACGCCTAAGTGACTCCCCGGGATGGCGACAAGGTCGACAGACATCGGCGGTGCCATCCTTTAGGATGTATCTACGATAGTTGTTAGTTTTAATATCCTGATCGCGCAAAACCCTCGTTTTCCCCGAAGAGGTCACCGAAACGTAGCCATTTGAGGGAGGCGACTGTATCTACGAAGGGCTCATGTAGAGTCCTATAGTATCTCCCGTGGAGCTCCTTCTCCTTCCATACAGTCTCCCGGTTGGAAATGCTATGTACTGCCGGGTCCTGCCATTGCTCGTTGACTACGGATAGAGAGGTAAACCCTTTATCACTAGAAATGACGTTATTATATCATATAGAATGGATCATCTGACCTCGCCAGGAAGTAATGACGGAGGCTGCACACTTCCCGATTATGCATGGTGAGCGCACTCAAGAAGCCATGCCAACCATGCTTTCGCGGCAAGTACAGCCTCATTACCGACGATCTTGGATGATGCATCCTATGGGACGTCATGGTAGTGCGAACTTTTTTATCCAGGGTGTTAAGTTCAGTCTGAGTTCACCTGAGTATGCCAAAGGTATACACGAGGACAGGCATGTCCCAGCCGTTATATGCGTGTGTCTTATTCACACCGGACAAAAGGCTGTTAACCTTTCAACTGCGGAGACTCTAACCGTAATTCTCCGTTGACTGCGGAGCTGTTTAATAAAATGGACGGCTGATTGGGCCCAATCCGTTTAAACGTAAATATCTTGATTTTGGTATATCGAATACTATAATATGTATACATTTCTGAATTCTTCTCTGTGAAATTTCCTATAAACGAGTACATATATTTAATAAAGTTTAAAGTGGTTAGTATAACTAAATATAGAATAAAGTCAAAACTATCGTATTTATCAATGACACAAAGTTTTTTAATAGTTCAATTTTATTTTATTTTAATCTTACGTCTATTGTTTACAATATTTTATGTGCAAAATCATAGGCTACAATACAATTTTTTATCGTAAAACGCATTAATAATAAGCTTACAAGAACCCACAATCAATTTACACCGATGTAGCATGTAGTTCGGACTAGATGCGGCATAATGCGGCGTAATGCTTTAGTCAATAAAAATAGTTTTTTTTTATTTCATTACAATGATTCAGTCTTGAATCTCTCTTTTTCTTTACATGATTCAGTCATCTTTCAATAGGTATTGCTAAGTTTTAGAAATCCGATAAAGTATTTCATAAGTACTCTTAATGCCGATATCAAAATTTTAGTCGTAAGTGCCATATTTATTGAAAAATTAATTACTTTATTTGAGCAAACAAACTTTAACAGCACTTGTACAGAAATAAAGATTCATTCATTCCTTTAAAAATCATAAAACCACTCAAGAGTCACTCCCGCTGATGTAGAGTTATAAATAACGTTTTTTGTAAACAATACCCAATGCACCATAATATGTATCGAGTGACAGAGGCGCCGCGAGCTGCGCAGCGGTTATGTTACATTTCCAATAACCAATAACATTATTTCTCCAAACGGTAACATATTTCCTTTAACACAAACAATAGCTACGAAATAATAAAATTTAAAATAAATATATCTCTTTCTGAAATAAAAAAAATATTATTTATGTATATTTTTAAAGAACCCACTTCTTATGCATTATACAAAAATATGCCACAATTAAAGTTCGATTCTGCACTTTTTTGTGAATCATGTACTAGTTCATTAAAACATTTTTGTACGTGGTAGAGCCATGCTGCAGTTATATTAGTAGTATAGTTGTAGCACGAATAGGCCGGCTCGACCGGGGAAGGACCACGCTCTCACAGAATACCAGCGTGAAATAATAGCTTAATGCTTCTGTGTTTCGTATGGTGAGTGTAGAGAACCGGAGAGCCTTTTTGCTGGAAACGAGGCGTTCCATCTTAGTCATCACGGGTGACACGCATTTTTGCATTTTGATTTGTAATCGAGGATAGATGTAGATGTCTATGGGCCGCAGAAACCACCACAGGTGGACTGCGCGCTCGTTTGTCACCCTATCCTATAGAAAAAAAACATACAAAATAAAGAGGTGTATTCATTTCAACGATGAGAGCCGTGGTGGCTCGGAAGAGCCGTGGTAGCTCAGATGGTTAGCTCTCGCTGTAAATTTCATAGTACGCTAGCAAGCCGGGTTCGATCCCCGCTAGCAATAATGAAATTGTTAATTGCAATTTTAAGTGCTGATCTACCACGTGCTCGGCGGTGAAGAAAGACATTGTGAGGAAACCTGCACGTCTGTGAAATAAGAAAAAAAATATTTCGAAGACATGTGAAGTTCGCCAACACGCATTTTGGCAGCGCGACGGAAACTTCTTTGCCTTTGCCCAGCTGTGGGGCGTAAAAAGGCTGTAAATTAACTAACTTAAGTATTCATTTCGACGATGAGAGAGCCCTGGTAGCTCAGATTGTTAGCTCTCGCGTTAAATTTCACAGTACGCTAGCACACCGGGTTCGATCCCCGCCGGCATCAATGAAATTATTAATTACAATTTTAAGTGCTGATTTACCTTTGCTCGGCGGTGAAGAAAAACATCATGAGGAAGTCTGACTGTCTGAGAAATAAAAAAAAATATTTCCAAGGCATGTGCAGTTCGCCAACACGCATATGGGCAGCGCGGTGGATACTTCTTTGCCGTAAAACTCTTTCAGAAGTGAGGGAAGGCCCAGCAGTGGGACGGAAATCGGCTGTGTAACTTAACTAACTTAACAATTTCGACGATGATAGTCTGAAATAATTAGCTGAACAAATTATAGCTAGGCAACAATAAAAACTAAATGGATGGATGGACATAAGTATAAAATTGAATAAATATATAACATAGTTACTTATTTCTTTAAAAGGCTCCTGGTACTTGTTGGATTTACTGTATCTACACTACAATTCATTTACGAATGGTACTGTAGGTAGCAGCAATCTTGCTATAGGTTGAAACATAACGCAACGTTACACGATTTGCAAAGTAAATATAGATAAAATGTACATTAAAAAAAACCAGTATAAGAAATATGTGTCTGAGGTGACCTTAAAAACCACAACCTGTTCATATTAAATTAAAAAAATAAAAATTTCAAATATTAAATATTAAAAAATATTAAAATAAAAATATTAAAAAGCATATTATGTAAATACTATCTAACTTTCTGTTTTAATAAATTGTTTAAAAATTCCGAAGTCTTGTGTTAACATACATGACATATCCAAATGCCACATTCAATTTTTTATAAATCATCGAATAATCGTGGAGTCAACCAAGCTCCATTTCTCTGCTCGAGGGCGCTAGATTCTTTACCATTCTAACCATTCAACCGAATTTGAACTTGATGCAGTATGGCAAACTTTAGTTCCTTTTTTCCCCACCCGCAAAAAAAGAGAACTAGAATTCACTTCTACGGACGTCTCAAAAATGGACACTATTGCACCTATTGCGTATATACATTAAAATTTTGAAAATATTGCACTTTATCCACATTTTGATGTACTAAAACTGTGAACGATGAACAATTATACATATTTTAACACAAAACTGACAGTCAACACTAAAATTTTACGTACATATCAAGTCAACTCTCGTCAACCAGCATGTTAGTTTTAAGATAGCAGTTTGCTTCATACATATTAAAAAACGATTTTACACGTACTTAATAAGATAAAACACAAAATGAGATTAAAAATAAGAAGATTACTTACCCAGGCATTGTTTAACACAATTCACCACACAATAAATATAAATTAATACAAAATAATTACAAACAACTTCGTTGTTAGCGCGCGTCAATCACACTAATGGCTGACTCAAGGAACGGATGACATTTAAGAATAATTTAAATAAAATATACTACTAAAGTGTATAAGCTGTGGGGTTTTTATGCTAGCCTTTTTTATCCTGTACACATTGACATATGGTAGAATGAGTTAGAAATAGCGCATAATGCTTTGTTTCTTCATTAAAAGAGCGGGTAAAAAATGTCTAACACTTGGACGCCCGCAGTCAACGGAGATATTTTCGTGTCCAAGTCTTGGACATCCGCAGTTGAGAGGTTAAGCACTTTGGACAAGCGTGCATAAAACACTTCACAAACTGACTGTTTCATACCAGCCTCATCGATACCGTGTTCTGTGATATACCCAGGTATCGGTATGTTTCAGCCTCGGAAAGGTCCCTTAAGTTGATGGGCATAAATAAGTCTATGCCCTCAGAGTTAGCAACCTTTCCTATCCGTCCCCAGATCCATTCCAATAGAATTGCTAAATTCACAAGTGATGTTTAGCTATTCCATAATATAGGAGCACTAGAGGCGAATAACTTGAGGTTATCCATATAGAAAAGGTGGGTCACTTTTGTACATCCTTTTCGAATCTGAAATCCCTTCCCGGAGCCCTGCAGTAAAGTACTGAGAGGGTTCAAAGAAAGGTAGAACCTGATTGGACTCAGACAGTTGCCCTGGAAGATACCCCTTCTTATCCTTATGCGGCTTTCCGCAGCCGTCATCCGCTCACCGAGATGACAAAGCAACGTACTCCACTACCCCATACACTGCTCGAGGAAGTCTCTAACTGTACAGTCAATCTTACTTTAGCCATGTATGGGGCACCGAGTCGAACACCTTTCTGTAGTCTATCCAGGAGGCGGAGAATTTCCGACGGTTGCGTTTCACCACTTTGCCAATCACCGCGTCAACGAGAAGTAGTTCCTTGGTTCCGCGACCACCGCCCCGACATCCATTTTGAGCCGTGACATCACCTGATTTAGCTCCAGATGACGAGTGATTCTCGAGCTCAAAATGGATGTCAGTGTCTTATATATGGTGGGTAGACACGTGATGGGACGGTATTTGATCGGGTCTGTGGTATCCTGATCTTTAAGAACTAAGTGAGTGATTCCAGTTGTGAAGAGGCTCGGGAGCGACTTCTGATCGAGAGCCTCTTGAAACTGTCGGGCGAGCACAGTGTGACACACTACGAACCCCTTCAGCCAGTAAGGATGCAGCCCGTCGAGCCAGGGACTTTTCCAGTTTGGGGCCCTAAGGACCGCCTCAGTGACATCTTCCGGCGTTATGGTGATGGGGTCCATAGCCGTAACATTCGCACCCTGGCTCGTCACAACTTCAATCCAAGAGCCCTCGCTGTGGTTTACGGGTTCTGACCACAGGCCACGCCAGAATGCGATAGTGTCGGCCTGATCCGGTCCCAGGTCCGCTCTATATACCTCTGGTCGCTCCAATGATTTATAGATCCTCTTCTGTTCACTCTGGTAGAGATGATTCTGGTTGAACCACCTTGACCTCTCGGTAAATCGTCGAATCCGCCTCCCCCAAGCAGCGATCTTTTGCTTCATGTCATCTATGCGTTCCGTTAGTTTCTGCGTGATATCCGGCTGGGACAAACTGATATTTGTCCCAGCAAACGCCATTCTAACTGTGCGCACAACCCTCGGTCTATTATTACCTGACCTGAAGCTTGTCAGTCTGCCGATAAGGGCCCTTGCCTTTGCGATACGGTCCTCGATTCTTTTTCTCCAGGCTGGGATGGCGCTACTTTATCTAGTATCGCGTCCACAACCATGGGTAGTTTGGTGTCAATAATACGGCAAACTGCAAGTACAGTGCCAAAAAGAATTTTTTAAAAGAAAAAAAAAATGAGTCCATCTCGCCAAGGTCCCGGCTGGCTTCCAAATAGGTCAACAGCATCGAGTTAAGAGCTCTCACGACAGCCCGATTTAGCTTGCTTAGGGGTATGCGGGGAAGTCGCGGTCGACTTTCGAGAGGCGTGCAGCGCGTTTCCGAAATCGCCTCTTCCAATATGCTCCTCATTTGTTCTAGTTCATGGGAGACTATTTCATCATCGTCCTAACTAACCGGAACCGGAAGATCCATGGCGGATTCCACGTGTGGATGCTGGTCTGACGCCTGTGGAGCCGCATCCCCAGCCATAGCCGATTCATTCGATGAGGGAATAGCCTCACTTCGTAGTCGTTCGATTTCGGCATCATCAAATATTTTCGAGCGCATGATGTACCGAACTCGGTCTGCCAGATTTTGTTCCGTGTTCCTATGCGCGTTATTCTTTGTGCCATCATCCATTTTATGGGCGCCAAATAATGGAAGACGCCCAAGCCCGGCACCGTTTCGTGGTTTGATCATTTGCACAAACGGACCTTTGCAACCACAATTTTATCATGCACTTTTTAAAATACATTAATTTGATACACTTTTAAAAATACACTTCTATATTGAAGCTTTAAAGCTCACATTAATTTTATTATTCAATATTAATATACTTTAAATTGTAATAACAATATTGGAACTTTGTCCATAACTATGTTTTGCGTGTTTTGGAATTTTTGACAATATCCGTTTCCGTTATGCCATTATTGTTTCTTTCTCTTGTCAGCTTGCTAAGGCAGGTTAGTTATTTAATAATTTCTCATTATTCTCATTAAAGGCATTAAATTTTAGATATTTAATTTAACTTTTTAACAGTACCTATTTCGTTGTACGTTATTTTTGTGTTTTCTTTTTCAATTAATGTGCAGTTCTATATGAGTGGTATTTTATGTTGTCGTGACCATGCCGTCAAAGTACAATTTATTTTTGCAGGAACTTCAAAATGCAGTTGCATATAAGAGGCCAATCGACACACGTCTTGGACGTTAACGGACAAGAATCAATTGGACAGATCAAGGTATTATGAGATAATATTCAGTTAAATATTTGTTGGTTATACTCTCAATTTGTCTAAAATTCCGAATCTTAGTTCACGTGGATATTACTCATTAAAGTTCAATAGTGCCAAAATAATTTGTCTTTTTATTTCTGATATTTAAATAATTTTATGCCAGAACACAAAGTTATATTTTAATAGCTTCAACTACATTTAGCGTTGTATTTTGTAGGAGCGTATTCGTACTCTTGCCGATATTAAAGATGAAGACCTGACTCTGTCACTTTGTGGTGCACCCCTTGATGACACTACCCTTGTGTCTGATTTATCATCAACAGAGCTTGACCTTACAGTCCCACTACTTGGTGGTAAAGTTCACGGATCCTTGGCTCGTGCTGGTAAGTGATATGCAATTATTATGTATTGGTGCATTTGTCCGTACGATAGGTTTAGGTATAGTGGTCAAAGTGAATTTTTTTTATTTAATGCAGTTCACTAAAACTATATAAAAATTCAAACTACCATCTGATGTAGTTTATATTATTTCTTTTAACACTACATTAACAACAAACAAATTGATAGTAAGGTTTACAATTAATTTGCGTGAATTAGGGGGTGGGGGGGGGGAGAAGTTGTAGAGTCGCCCCCCTACTTCCCCCTCCTGTCAGACGTGCTTAGTTTTTTTTATAAATTTTTAATTTAATTTAGTTGAAATTTTTTTGACAATTTTAACCTGATTTATTGGGAGAGAGAGTTGGGTGATGGAAGCCCCACGCCACTCAATGTGGTGCAGTCGAAAGCCCAGTCGACGGAGCCCTTTGGAGGGGTTCCTACTTCTAAGTGAAAAAATAACTATGAAAGGGATGATGGGGTCTTTTCACTCGCTCACTTGACCCCATCATCCCCTTCTTACATAACCCGCCTGAGTAAGGGTGCCCCATGTACAAAGCTCGCTTCGCTCGCCATTGCACTCAATATTAACCCAAAATATAAACTTTTATAATTATTTTAATTTATATACCTAATTTATGGCTCCCACCATTTGTAAGAAAGGATCTTTGGGATATATAGCAGTATTCTGCCACCACAAATATTCCACTGTGGTATGGTATCATCAAAATTCTGAAACTCGGAAGTAAATGAATGACGTAAAGTATGTCTGTCACTGTCAACGAAATGGCCGGCCTAGTGATTCATTTTACACATTTTTAAATCAATTCAAATTGAAATCAGATGAATTGATTCACAAAAAAATTGAAGTTTTAATGATCGATTTCTCAAAACCAATCTTTTTTTATTTGCATTAAGAGTTTATTATTTACAATATCAAAAGATACCATCAAGTACAGATAACATTGAATGATTTAATTGAAAAACTGTCATTCTTTACGAGTTGGGGTACATACAACTAATTGTAAATAATTTTATAGTTCTTAATAAAACAGGAAAAGATTCGATCTCGATTCTCTAGGCTCTAGGGTGAAATATTGATGCACTAGATTGATTCAGTACTATATATCGATATGGACATTGACAGATGCAACGTCAAAAATGTGAGTATATATTTAAAAAGGGTCTCCAGCTCTCAACACTCACCATACAAAACACAGCAGTATTAAGCTACTATTATAACCCTATAATATTATAACCCACACTACTAATATAACTGCAGCATGGCTCTACCACGTATAATAAGTCATTTACCAATATTTTTGATAAATTATTAAAAATACTTCGACACTGCTCCGGCAGCAAAAATCGCGTCAGAGTGCTTCAGATAAATCCCCTTGACACAGTGTCAGAATCCTCAAATTCAGGCAACTTAATTGTAAACCCAACCCGAAATTGAATGCTATTCGAGCCACCCAAGCTCCTCCAAAAATCGTAACAACTTTTTGGTGTCGCTAAAGATCTCTGAGAGTGATTCCAATGCACGAAAGTACTTAGCTTTGTAGCAAGCAACCAAAGAGCACTCCAGTGTATCACATCACATGTGTAGACTGCACAAAATATTGTCAGTGACATCTTTAGCAAACATGATTATTAAACGATTCATGCCCAGTTAGCATGCTTGTAGTAGTCTGAACGTAAGATTTGCTCAATCAAAGCACTATTTTGGGAAAGCGGCTGTGGCTGGATGCTGGGTAAAGCTTCTCAGGCTTGCCTGCATTCCATATTATTGATCCAAGATTAGATGTGTAAGTTGTTTGGGCGGCCTCGCACCTGTGACATTACAAACCCAAATAGAAGTGGGGAATAGATTCTGGTTTGAGTGCCTTACATGGTAAGTCATTGCGGGCTTAGGCCATCAGGATAGCACTATGACTTTATCTGCTAAAGGGTAATGTTATTTACTTCACCTTTAAGTTTTTTTACCTTTAAGTAAAATTATTGTTCAGGGCCTGTAAGACTGAGTATTTGAACTTAAAATAACAAAACATTTAACTTTCAGGTAAGCCACATGCTCATTTTCCACCACTCATATAGAAAAAATCTATTCTTTACTTTAGAATCTGTAAATAGTTGTTGTGGGAAATAATTGGTTAGGGATTATTCAGCATTCCCTATGTAAATAATCAAAGTAATTCTGTAAATTATTCGTCATCAAAGGTACTATGTAATCTAATATATAAAAATTTGTTGTCTGAAACTTTGTTAGTACCATACCCATACCCATACGTGATCTATATGGGTATGGGCTCTACCAAAATCTAAAACACCTACCTAAATACACAAGTGACTTAGCGAACTTATTTAATTTCTTATATTAATGATAATTTCTAAATAAATGATAGGTAATAACATTAATGTTATTGTTTCATACAGAATAAGACTTAATTATAGTTTGATACATTATAAATCTGTAGCTTTTTCTTTAAAAATTTCTGAAACTCGTTTTTCATTTTTGGTAAATAATATTTGACCAAAAAAAAATTTTATAGTAATGGCTAACTGCAGCATCTCTACTGTTGACTTCAACTAAAATAATAAAATAGTTTCGAGGACTTGAAATAATAAGAAAAAACTACCTAAAGGGTATTTGTTGATTTTGTTTGTGATCCTTATTTTAACAAACTAAAAAGGAGGAGATTGGCAACTTGTGGAAATATATATTATGTATAAAAGTTAAAGTTACTACCTAGGCTGCACTAAAAGTATCGGAAATGGAATATTTCCACTGTTCCTGTCATATTAAAATCTTTTTAATTAAAAACTCCTTGGTTTTAAAAATCGAATACCATTTATTTATTTAAAAAAAAGATTCTCGGTCTTGTCACAAGGTTTTTTTAAACTTGTTTATAGTCGTTGAGAAAATGGAATTGACTCGAGAAAATTCAAGAGCGATGATATATTATGACTTTCGCAGTGGTTTAACACAAAACCAGTGTGTTGACTGGATGATTTCTGCATTTGGTGATGAAGCCCCACCCAAAACCACAATTTATCGCTGGTTTGCTGAATTTTGGAATTTTGGAAAATTGTGGACGTGTCAAGCTCAGTGATGATCCCCATCAAGGTCATCCAAAAACTGCAGTTACCCAAGAAAACGTTAATGCTGTGTGTAAGCTGATTGAGGAAGATCGACATGTGTCATACCGCGAAATTCAGGCAACTTTAGACATTGGCATGAGTCAAATACAAATAATCTTGCATGAACAATTAGGTGTAAAAAAGTTGTTTTCCCGATGGATACCGCATTCACTCTGTGAAGAGCAAAAAGCGGCTCGCGTTACTTGGTGCGTCAGAACTCTCGAAAGATTCCACGCAGGATCCTCAAATGCTGTATACAACATCGTTTCAGGTGACGAATCCTGGATATACGTGTACGAACCCGAAACAAAAAACCAGTCACGAGTTTGGGTGTTCGAAAATGAGTTAAAGCCAACAAAAATTGTTCATTCACGGAGTGTTTCAAAAAAAATGGTGGCCACGTTTGTCTCCAAAACCGGCCATGTTACGACTATTCCTCTTCAGGGACAAAGAACGGTTAATGCAGAATGGTATGCTAGTATTTGTTTGCCACAGGTCGTTTCTGGACTCCGTAAAAAGAACTGCAACCGCCGCATCATCCTCCATAACGACAATGCGAGTTCTCACACCGCATACAGAACAAAAGAGTTTTTAGAGCAAGAAAACATGGAATTATTAGACCAGCCTCCGTACAGTCTCGACCTAAGCCCTAATGATTTCTATACTTTCCCTAAAATAAAGAATAAATTGTGTAGACAGAGATTTTCATCACCTGAAGAAGCTGTGGATGCCTACAAAACGGCCATTTTGGAGACCCCAACTTCCGAATGGAATGGTTGCTTCAATGATTGGTTCCATCGTATGGAAAAATGTGTCAAATTTCGCGGAGTATACTTCAAAAAGCAATAAATACATTTTTAAATAGTAATGTTGTGTCACTTCCTTGATTCCCGAAATTTTCAGTGCCGCCCTCGTATATACATCCCACTGCTCATTTCTCTCTTTTCTTAAAGGGTTTTAGGGCGAAGAAATGTCTGCCGCGCTGCACCAATGCGTATGAAATGAAAATATATCAAAGACATGTGTAGCGAACTACACATGTCTTTGATATATTTTCTTTTGTTATTTCGCAGACATGCATGTTCTCTCTGGATTTTTCCTTCACCACTGAGTACGGGGTAAATCAACTCTTAAAATTTAACAATTTCATTGGTGCCGGCAGGGGTTGAAACCGGGTTGCTCAGTTAGCTTAGCTTAGCTATACCATGGCTGTTCTGATCTTTTTTTTGTATGTTCAGTGATAATTCTTTACCATGTTCAATTTCATTGTTTCTTCTTTGTTAGAAGGCGTTAGCTCAGGGGTGGTCGCCCTGAGCTAACGCTTGTAAGGTCTTATGGTAAGATGTATGCGAAAACTTCATTTTGCAAAGGCATCTCTGCACAAGAGATGGGCAATCATTTTTTACCATAAAAACCAACTTTGATAATTATATTCGTTTTTATTCTTTAAAGTCTACTTTTTATTATTTTAAATGTCTAATTACTAGTATTGTAAGTAGGTGTATGGAAATAATGCATACCATATTTTTTTCCTCAAAGAATAATAATTAGCCAATACGTTAGGAAACTGTGCCAGCATTTTTGGTACTGTTCTTTGAGTAGTAGGGTCATATGGTAATCTTAAGTTTCTGTGTTATTTATTTTCAGGTAAGGTGAAAGGTCAGACACCTAAGGTTGAGAAACAGCAAAAGAAAAAGAAGAAGACTGGTCGTGCCAAGCGTAGGATCCAATACAACAGACGGTAATTTTTATTTTGGTTGCTTAGAGCCTTTAGTCACTAAAGCCCATCACAAGCCCACTGTGCTGTACAGACCTTACAAAACAACTGCTACAGTACAACTACCCGAGTTCTTCAGTAGCCTCTGGTAGTCTGGCTGGACATGGCTCCTGGCGGAGCAACTTGTTGCAACCAGTCCCAACTGCTCACTGGGCCAAGGCTGGCAACTTCTAAAGCTTTCTTCTTATATTGATTGTCGGTTCTTTGACCTGTACAGCTAGCTCTTTGCCTTTTTAGCCTCTACAGCCCATCATAAGTCCACCGCTGCACAAGCCTCACACAAAGACTGCCACTATATGATGACTTGAGCTCTTTGGAGTCTCGGGTAGTAATTGCATTTTGTGGGAGCCCATCCAACTGTACTAATTAGCTTAAGGCTAACATTTAAGAAGCTTTCTTTCCCATTGATTAAGCATATACAACATGTCCCAAAATTCAACAATAAGCCAACACCGGAGGATAGACCTGCCCCGGACTAATCGGCAAAAAAAAAGAAAGAAAAATATATCCCTATTATATTTTAAGTTATATAAAAAAATTGAAATTCTTCAGAAATTGAGACCATTTATGATATTTTTCACTACCATGACCACAATTATTTTAATATTTGTTTCTTTTTTTTTGGCAACCTGAATGGCACTGCTATCTACCACAATTCTTAAAAACTCCAGAATAACTCTTGTTTTATCACGAAAATTAATGAAACTTATTTTATTCCCTAAATTTTTTGAAGACTTTTACTTTTAACCAACTTTAACTTATCGTGGTGTAAAAAAAAATTTGGGCACTAGTATGTTTTTTTAAAAATTGACACAAAAATATGGGCTTATCATTTCTAAACAGGGGCCAAATGACGGTCGGGTGTAATAAAAGTATTAGTTCTTGAAAAATGTTAATATTTCAAAACAAATGGTATGAACAGTTTCACGTGTAATTTATTAAGTTATTACCATTATAGCAAATGTTCAAACTGTTTGCCACCAGCATTAATACATGCACAACATCGCCTTAAAAATAATCGTTTTATTTGTCTTGCATATCAGCTGCTATTAATGTAATCAGCAGCCTGAGTGATATTTCGACGAAGCTCGTCCAATGTCGCAATGGGTTTTGAGTGGACCCTGTTTTTTTTAATACAACCCCAAAAGAAGAAGTCCAGGGGGTTCAAATCGGGTGAACGGGGTGGCCATAAGATAGGACCAAGTCGCTCGATCCAACGCCCTGGACACTCTTGATTTAAATATTCTCGCACAGGACGGGCATAATGTGCTGGGCAACCATCATATTGGAACCACATGTTTTGGAGATCACTTAAGGGCACGTCATCTAACAATTGTTGCAAGTCATTTTGTAAAATGTTTAAATAACTATTGCCATCTAAGTTTCCTTGTAACTCAAAGGGCCCAATTACTTTTCCATTTAATAGGCCGGTCCATAGGTTAACCTTGAATTGATATTGGGATTTGTCTTGTCTCATGAAGTGCGGATTTTCTTTAGTCCAACTATGTAGGTTGTGAAGATTTAAATACCCATCTTTCTTGCATGTTGTTTCATCCGACCATAGAATTTTGTCTAGGAATTGGGGATCTTCACTGTGCCTTTGCAGCATCACACGGCAAAATGTGACTCGTAGCGGATAGTCCCGCGGTAATAACGACTGCACACGCCTGTAGTGATATGGGTGAAGCTTTAATATTCGATGTGCAGAGCTTTTCGGGATTCCTGTAACTTCTTCTATGGCACGTACTGAAGTAGTCGAATCATTTTCTATCTCATTGAGAACTTCTTCATCACGATCCAATCTAGGTCTTCCAGTGCTTCTGCTATTGGATCGCATACGACCCTCCGAAAACGCTTGATGCACATTAATAAACACTCGATAATCGGGGATATCTTTGAGCATTTGGGTATCTTTCTCGATACAGCCTGCTAGCAGCATTAGCATTACATCGGCATTCTCCATAGATTAAATGCATATTAGTGTATTCCTGTGGTGTGTACGGTTGCGGCATGTTAAACGCCAAACAGTCCCAAATGCGCCAGAACTCTAAATCACAAAACACACAATCGTAGTCCAAGATAATGCCAGGTCAGTTCAGTTTGCACATCACTTCCAGTCCAAATAATGCCAGGTCAGTTAAGTTTTCAGGTCTATTCCAGTCCAAAAAGCCAAGCCAAAAGTCGATAGTATGTACGAGAGCCATGTAAGTTGAATTGGGAACGGTGCGCAGTAACCAAAGGAGCAGAGCGTACTGAACTGACTTGCTGAGAATAATAACAGCTTCTCTACCTGCCCTGTTGTTGTCTCTTTTTTTAACGTTAAACTATCTCTCTCTAACATCTAAGGTATGTATGCCCCATTCAAATTCCTAGAAATTGTAACAAGAACCCATTTTGGGCATGTAGTAAAAGTGATTACTGACAATTACAATTTGGCCCCTGTTTAGAAATGATAAGCCCATATTTTTTTTATAACTTGTTTTCCTAGAGTATTATACCATTTTGGAATGTTGGTTAGTTGCGTCAATTTTTAAAAAAACTTGCCATACTAGTGTTCATACTTTTTTTTTACACCACGATAAGTTAAAGTTGGTTAAAAGTAAGTCTTCAAAAAATTTAGGGAATAAAATAAGTTTCATTAAGTTTCGTGATAAAACAAGTTATTCTGGATTTTTTAGATTTACAGTAGGTTCCTTAAAAAAAGAATTGTGGTCATGGTAGTGAAAAATATAAACGGTCTCAATTTCTGAAGATTTCATTTTTTATATAACTTAAAATATAATTGGGATATATTTTTTTTCTTTTTTTCCCCGATTAGTCCGGGGCAGGTCTATCCTCCAGTGTTGGCTTATCGTTGAATTTTGGGACATGTTGTGTATGGCTCTCCTTAATATTCTTTATGTAAGCAATAAATAACCTCATCACTGTGCCAAATTAGCCTAGAAACCTTGTTATTTCAGTTTCTTGGAACACACACACACACACCCTCACACACAAACATGCTGGTGCCAAAATTTATTAAAAAAATTTGTTCTAGCTAAGAACTTGTTGGTTTTTGGTTCTTCATGTTCATCTTATCTTAAAAGCATAACACATGAGAGTACAATATGATAAATAAGAGTATACATTTGTGGTAGTATAATATTAAATCTAGAAGACCATTAACACTAAATAGCCTCGTAAGGAGGAATCCAGAGATTCAGGATCGTAAAGTTTTTCTCGTATTTATTTGCGAAATAGACAGTATAGTTCTTGCAATTCACGATTGCGGTCGACCTTTGGTTGTGGTTCGACATGCGCGGTGGCCTGGCGGAGCGGTCAATCGCGAGCCGACGCCCACTGCCAGGCATTCACACTGTCATACTCTACATGTACATGGCGAACCAGGTCCAAAGGTCGACCGCACTTGTGAATTGCAAGAACTATATAGATTTATTATTTAATATAAGGTGGTGAGTAAGCAATATTCAACGATTATAAGGTCAATTATTCATTGCACTCACATTTTAGCCGGGCATTATCCCTTACCAACAGTATGACAGATGCAGTTACTAAATGTGTATTGACTTGTTTTTGTGTATAGATTTTAACATATTGGAATCATTCCTTGTCCTAATCACAATAACAAATCCCACTGCTGGACTAGACCTCATCCATTGGTAAAGGGATTTGCCATAATTGTTGCACTTGATAGCAGGCATGGGATAACCAGACAGATTGACGAAAGCAGTCTTGTGCTTGTAAACCATAATTGTTGCACTTGATAGCAGGCATGGGATAACCAGACAGATTGACGAAAGCAGTCTTTTGCTTGTAAAAAATAAAGTGGACAGATTGTTAAGGATTATTACGTGTTAATCCCAGAATAATATATTCATTTTTATTTCATTAAATCAATAATTACAAAGCAAAATTTAAGATTTGAATATGTTTTGCTGTATGTTTCTTCATAGTTGTAACTTTAACAAAACTTATTTGTTTCAGATTTGTCAATGTTGTGCAGACATTCGGCCGCCGTCGTGGACCCAACTCTAACTCTTAGATTTATGTTTTGTAAATAAAATGCAATTATAACATCTTTTTGCGTCACTTTGTAGTTTGATTTATAATACACTAGCGTTGGCACGCGACTTCGTTCGCATATCCTACAGCAATGGTACATTTTTTGGCAAAAAAAAATAGTCTATGTATGTTACTCTATGGTCCATAAATTATAACTAGGCCATGTGTTTTCAAGGTAGGCAGCGCGCCTCCTGTGAGCAGACACCCGCGTAGGAGCACGCGCGTTACATAGCCTATTTATGTTACTGTATGGTCCTTTTTTTATAGAAGACAAGACAGACCCAGAGACATCTACATTTATGCTCGATTAGGAATCAAAATTCAGATGCGTTGCCACCCCTGAGGACTAAGATGGAATACCTCTTTTCCTGTAAAAAGGGTCTTCGGTTCTCTCTACGAGCACTTAACCCTATAGAGAAGTAATAAATGCGAATTTAAAAGAAAACAATTTTGTCAACTAGTTGCTGCGCGGGGGGGAGCTGTGATCGCTGCGAAGTACTCCGAACCATTCCGAAGAGATTCCGAACACGATCGCTAGGGCGTGCATTGTAATGAATTTATGCTTTCTATCGATATTGATCAATTTTTTCGCTTTTTTTAATACATACTTTCAGTATCAGTAACTAGCTTTCGACTGTGACTTAAATTTTTCTGTGCAACTAAGAAATGCAATTTTAAATGAACTAACTTTTCAAGCAGTATACTCAGGTAAAATATAAATGCCAACTTAAAAAAACTTTAAAAATTAAAGATTAAATTAAAGGAGTTTAAAATAAACTTTTAGTGATTTGTTGAACTTTAACATAAAATTACTTTAATATAAAAATTAAAATATTTAATATGTGGTAGAGCCATGCTGCAGTTATATTAGTAGTATAGTTGTACCATGAATGGGTCGGCTCGACCGGGGAAGGACCACGCTCTCACAGAATACCAGCATAAAATAGTAGCTTTATGCTGTGTTTCGTATGGTGAGTGTAGAGAACCGGCGACTCTTTTTACTGAAAACGAGGCATTCCATTCCCCATGCGTGACAGACAACGCATCTGCATTTAGATTCGTAATCGAGGATAGATGTAGATGTCTATGGGCCACAGCAACCACTTACCATCATGTGTACTGTGTGCTCGTTTGTTACCCTATCCTATAAAAAAGGCCCCAGAGATACGCAAGATAGTTCGGCTCAAGGTCGAGGCTGTACGGAGAGATTGAAAAGAGAATAAAAAAGATTTTCATGGCTATTTATTATATTTATTTTATTAAGTGCTATTATTGATTTTTAAAATGAATTAATTTTGTATATATTTTCCTAACTGCACATTTTCCTTCCAATTTTTGATTTTTAAGTATAAATGTCATTCTTGTGTCAATATATTTCTTCACTATCCTTTTCGTTAAATCAATAATATAATTGGTTTCTTCGGCGTAAAATTGATGATATGTGTACTCCGGGAATAATTGTTCTTCTGTAAAGCTGCTAAGAGCTTTATGGATCAACAGTTCAGCGGTGATTTTTCTTTTAGAGTCACTATTAATAAAATCTTTCTTGATTACGGACTCGCAACGCCGACATATTTTAACGACCATTTGTGAGGGATAAATTAACCCTCCATTATCTTTGTAGAATATAAAACTTTTTTTATTTTATTTTAATGACACTAAAGCCTTTATACAGGTATTGCATCTGAGGCAAATACAGCGTAGGTACTGCACTTCTCTTTAGTCGCCGCTTCTTGTTTTTTTATCAAAAAACAATGTTTTGAGCACATGACGCTATATTTGATGGAAACCAATTTTCTCTTTTTGTAACTGAACTTTTGTAAAAAAACTCTTTTTGTTGTTTTTCATATTACCATCTTCTGGAAACCTATAGGGAAAAAAATCGTACAGTTTAAATAAAATAATACTGTTATCGTACTTATCCAAAGGTCATACAGGAAAAGAATAATTATAATTAATATTATAAAGTGTTACTAAGAGTAGTAAATAATAATCTACTACTCTTAGTAATACTATATATATACCATATATATATATATATATATATATATATATATATATATATATACCTATATATATATCCAAAACAACGATATCTAAATACAATAATAATTTTGTAGATAATTATCGACAATACGAAATAAATATACCGCACTGCACTAGTCATTAGCGTCACGAGGCTAATTATGATAAGGAGAGATAGACATACATGTTTGCAGTAAATGCAAAAAGGACGGGGGAGTGACGCGTGGCGGACCCTCCAGTTTAACTTGACCCTCATTGCGTAATAAAAATGTTGAAAATATTTTGGTAAAATAAAGAAATGTACTTACTGATGAAAAGTAATATTGTTTGTTGTTACACTACTTGTTTTACTGTTGTTTCCGCACCATTTAACGGCAAAACAAGACATGGTGCCGTAAATTGATTTTAATTTATATTTTAAATGTAAGCCGTCTCTTCGGTTCTAGTTTTTGGTCGCTACTGGCAGGGAGACAAAAGTGTTCCGAAATATATCAGTGACTAATCACTGACGAGTTGACAGGTTCGGGTCGCCTTGTATTACGTCTCTATAGGGTTAAGTGCTCGTAGGGTTCTCTACACTCACCATACGGAACAGCGGCATAAAGCTGCTATTTTACGCTGGTATTCTGTGAGAGCGTGGTCCTTCCCCGGTCAAGCCGTCCCATTCGTGCCACGACGATAATATAGCTGCAGCCATGGGTCTACTTATCTTCTTAAATAATATTAGCAAAACTATCTGTTAATAACAGAAATTTTCTAACAAATTATTTGCCTTTTTTGTTATGTATTATTATTGCGAATAAAGATAATAATAATATCTTCGATTAAATTGCTTTTAAAATTAAAAAGGTACTTCAAAACTACGAGTTTCAAAGAAAAAATAGCCGTTCCACGCTGACTTGAGTGGTTGGACTAGCTAAAACAATATAATATGGGCCATTTTCAAATTTTGTGCAGGTTTTTCTTACTTTAAGTCTAAAAAATATTTTTGCTTAAAACTATTGCTATATCATTTTTTCATTTGTATTTGTTGGCGACGCGCCTATAAGAATATTTCAGTTTATTAAGTCAACCGATGACGAATAACGTCTCAAAGGCATATTGTCCAATACCAAGGTTCTGATAAGAAAATGCTTAGTTAAATCTTGAAGAAATGTCGAATTAATGATATGAAGGTCTTGGGTTCGACTCCCAGGCCGGACTAGTTTATTGTTTTCCTAAGTAATATCTTTCAATAAATTCATATAGGGAATTTTAAGATATAAATTATGTTACCGGATTGGTTCCCCGGTTGAAATCATCTTTCCAATGATGTAAATTTAAAAGAATAATTAAATAAAGTTAAAGATCGGATTTGTTCCCCGGTCGAGATGATCACTCTGTGCATAAATAGAATTAACGGAAATTAATTGCATAAATATTGTTTTATATGAGTTTGATATGTTTTGTACGAAAACAAATGCCTATTTGTCATGATTGATTTATGAAAACATTCACTTATATTGTTTGATAAGAAACATGATAACTGATAAGAATCTGATTAGAGATAGTTTCCTACAGTTCGAAAATTGTGTAAAAGCATTTAATTTACCTAATATTGTTAAAATTGGTGTATATCAGACTTCCATTTTTTCTGATAGCCGAGAGCCGTGCAAAAGTTAGTTGTTCAAATAGTGTGAGTACACGGAAGCACGCTGGCCACGCCCTTAGGAGGCCGAATATGTAAAAATTTAAAATGTTTGTAATTTCAGCAATTTATGTAAAAATGACTTATAAAACATTTCAGGTTGATTGTACGTGCTAAAAAAGGTGAATTCTGTGTTATTTTTATGTGAAAATTCCTGTGTATAAGTGAAATAATGATAGTTTTGTATAAGAAATTTAAAAGTGTTTTAATAGTGAAATAAATAGAGAAAATGTAAATTAAACTATTGTATTAGTTAACTTATGTATAATTTCAAGTGGAAAACATTGTTTTAACTTTCTGTGTTAAATATTTAAGAAATTTCGACTTCGAACTTGTGAGTAAAATAGGCATATTTCATTTAATAAATAAAAGGTTTTTCGTGATATGAAAATGTAATGTATATCGTAGTGTAGATATTGTTTTGTGCTATCTATACAGATAAATTGTATTGATGTAAGACTTATGCAAATAAAGAAATTAAGTAAAACGTGAGAGAGTAATAGAACAAATTCATGTAATTGAGTTGCGCAAGCGCGCGAATGGCGCGGCTCACTTTCGCGTATAGCTCTGGGGTAGCTTAGTAAATGAGTTTTATTGCAATTCACCTGTCATGACATACGCGGCCCCCATTTTTGCACATGCTAAGCCCAAAGCTATAAATGAACTTCAAATAGTTCAAAATCTATTCTGTCGTAGGGCCACTAACTCGCCCTATTATGTCCGTAATGCCGACCTACATCGAGACTTAGAGCTCCCAACAATCCAGCAATTCCTTAAATTACTCTCTGAGAGATTTTTCAAAGCCTCAGAGTCCCACCCAAATCATCTCATTCGTGAGACAGCTGCCTATGCAGCCCCTATCCACACTCGCTTTAGTGTGCGCAGACCGAGAAACTCTCTCTCGGACCCCCCCAACAAGCTTTCGGCTGACCTGAACTGCCTCCTGGCGGCTCAGGCCGAGCCTACATAACACATCCTTTAATCTGCCTTAGTTAGGCACTCTTCTAAGCGGCTTTTCGCCGCTTGCGCCCTCCTTTCTGCCAAGGAGGGTCGCGTTCGTATACGGCTTAGAGATCTCTAGTCAGATCGTTAAGCCAATTCCTAAAAGGCTGGGTTTAGTGGGTAAAAGTCACCACATAACCACGCAGCCGGCTGCGTGGTATGCTATGAGCTTTCCCAACCTCCCTCCCCCGCTTTCCGGAGTGTTGCCCATATTTGCTTCGGGCGCAAAAAAAAAATTGCAATTCGTTCGGGAATCCTTCGGAAAAGTTCGGGGAAAAAGTTCGGAAATCATACCAGCAGTCAATAAGAAGAAGAAAGAAAAAGTGTAGGGAAGTGATAGGGAAAAGTAATTACTCTCTCACGGAACGGTTTGAAGATAATTGCTGTTTTATTCCCAAGTAATTCATCCCTCAAGATTATACAGTCCACATCGAAGAATTAAGGCGTTGGGACCGGGACGACTTCGGAAGACCCGTAATCCCCGTCTGACCCTACTCGCTGAAAAGGAAGAGGTTATCGCCCTTGTGTGTTACTCCGTTGCGGAGATCACATACGTTGTTCCCGAACCCAGCGTAGGCGTTATAGGAGGCCGGATCGAGAGAAGCCTCGATTCCTCCCTTCTGTTTCTTAGTTGAACGTTTGAATAAGCTGCGTTTCCTTTTCAATTGGTCCTTCGCGGCCGGATTGAGAGGACGCCCGAACCTGGGTTCCTTTTCAGTATTTGACTATTATATACATTAAATTTTAATGTACTATTGTTGGTCACGATGTTTTTTTAGGAATTTTGAGGTTTTTTTCAGACTTTATCGTTGGAGGCGAAATTAAATACTACTCTGTTACCAATGTAAATTTTCTTTTATTTTTATAACGAACACATGAATCACAAGTTATTTGGCATTATTGTTAATTATAGTCTAAAATATTTTGAAAACATGCAGAATCATACTTCAAACAATTACTAATATTTATTTAAATAAATTCTTAAACAACTCTGTTACTTTTGATACATTAACAAACTGTATTTTTTTTACTAAAGTCTCTGGAAATTATACTTTTAACATCTTATAATGCTATTTTGAAAACTACAAATATTATTAACTGGCTCATAGCCCATTTAAAATATTTTGAGGTCTAGTTTACCTAAAAAATATATTTTAGACCTTACAATCTTTGGGACAGAAAAGTAACATAGTTGTAAATAATTAACATAGTTGTTTTTGTACTACGCCTAGCGTAAAAACTTAAGCTTATCATTTAAAATTATTACATGAGACCACGCTAATGATATTCTCATAACTAAGCAGTTCTAAAAACTAACAGATAAAAATAATTACGAGATCATATTTATCACAATGAGACCAACACTACTTCTCAAATATTTCTAATGGAGAGTCAAACAGGTAGTATACTCTTTTGCCTTTGTATACTTTTTTTGGGTCTGGGACGATTGCAATTAAATTTTCAAAAGGCTCGTAAGACACATCAGTCTCAATCAGTCTAAATTTTTTTGCAGTATCGTCCATAGACCTGAAAAACATAATTTTTACCTCGCCATCATCTTCTACTTCGCTCAGCACTTTTCCCAAATAAATGTAGTCTTGCTTCAGGCTTGAAACTTTGACTAACACGCACACACCATGTTTTATTTTAACAATATGAATATTTTCCTTCTCTATCAAAGCATCATTATCAATTCCTTTTGATGTACTGGGTTGTCCAAGTGAAAAGTTGTCCTTCACTGTTAATAAAGGGATATTATCATCAGTGTCAGAACCGTAGACAGTGTTATAGAATGGGTTTCTTTGTGGATGGACTAAGTTGCCTATTTCTTTCATAAAATCTGGTTCACATTCATCAGAGCTTGATTTTTCATCCACGGGTTTTAGTGGACGGTATTCTTTGGGATCCATGCAAGAACAAAAGCCACGCCTGCAGAAACAGCTCAAGTCTCTGTATTTGAGAACTCCTTTCTCTTCAGTGAACACCTGGTGGACTTTCATGGTGCCACATAATGGTAAAACATTGTCTGGAATCTCCATGGACCATATATTAATGTCTTCATCAGTAATAAAATGCATTTTTATTTTACTAATATCCTTTAAAGCAGAATAGAACATTGAGGCATCAGCAATATCCTGTCCACGTGCGACAAGTTGATCAGCAGTGCGTTTCAAAAAGCCACCAACTCCGTCTGCTGCACCCTTGCCGTGCCCTGCCTCGAAAAAAGTCCATGTTACTCTATAGAAGTTATATTCAGAGAAAAATTTATTGCAAATCGGATAAAAACTCGATACATCATCGCGATTAAAAAAAATCGTTAATTTTGTCTCTTACAACTTTTTTTCCTCAGCTTTGGTTGTTTCTTTCTTATGTAACCTTGATCCACATTCAAGCACTCTTTTATTATTTGCATTTTCTTTCTAGAACATTTAACTTCCTTCTCCTCAAATATTTTTTGTATAGCTATCTTTTCTTTCCGACTTTTAATTTTTTCATAACGTTTTTTAATAGCTTTCGCCAATATGTTATACTTATCTTGACTTTTACAATCATCGCTTTCATTTTTCGACCCTTTTTGTTTTCCTCTATTATATCTCTTCTTGTATTTTTCATATTTTATATTTCTTCAATTTTTTCTTTTAATCTTTGATTTTCTCTCAACAGTTTTGTTCTGTATCTTTTTACTTGTTTCCGGCCCCGTTTTGCTGCAGATGTCGTTGAACCGTGGCTACTTTCATGGGAAGTCAATAGTTGAGGGGTTGATAAACGGCGATTCGACGGTAGAACTCGTGGTAGAACTTGGTTTGGACCCAGCGGAGTTGGAGTACGTGAACGTGGAGTCGTAATTCCCGGTGAAGATTCTGGAGTATGCATTACTACACGAAGAGCCTTGGTCCGGTCCCTCCGTCTGGCATTTGCAGCTCGCCATTTTTTTTTATTGCTCGGTGTTCCTGTGACGTTAAATTTTTCACTAAACGTTTCTTTGAATGGTATCTTTCGAGGTCTTTTCTTTTATTTGCAGCTTCTTTTTCAGGATCCTTTTTGCGTCGTTCCCTATAACGTCGCTGCTTTTCAGCAGGCGTTAAAGCCATATAGAAAAGCGATCAGCAGTACAAGTAAAAGAAACCTGAAACCAATAATTTTTTACTATAAAACTTGTGAAATAAGATTGAACCATGATAAATAACCACTCTGTTAAACGGGCTACACACGAGACGATATCGGTGGCGATCTAGGGTGGAAAGAAATCGGGGCTTTTATCGGGGCAGACCCTACACACGGGCCTGCCTAGCAGTACGCGTTCGGACTTGGAGCGGAACACATATGCGGTAGAGTTCTTCAAAATAGCTTCAACTCTCTTAAAACACCAATGTATTGGTTTGGCATTAGCCCTCTCGGTAAATTTATTCGAAAATAGAAAAAGAGGAGTTGCTGGGTGAAAAAATGGCTCCAAAAAAAATAAAAATTAAGCCACATAAACGTACTAAATGGCCTGTAATCCAAGGACGTGATTAATTTTCTCCGGATGGATGAAGACAGTTTTTATAACCTTCTAGAAATGATTTCGCCACTTATATAAAAACGTCAATTTCTCCTACCTATGCTATTTAGTTATTTCTTCTCTTTGTTCATTTCTGCTTTGGTCAAAATCTGGTTATGTATACACACAACAAACAAGGAAATAAAATACTTTTGTATAATAATATGTATACTTTTTTTTTAATGTAATCTTTATTTATGGAGTAAAACTATCAGAAAATAAAATAGCTTATATCTTTTTTTAAACATAAAGAAACCTTTAATTTCGGACATACTCCCTTTTATATAACTTGTTTGTTGATGTGGAGATGGTGAAGGAGTAGAAGTTAGTTGTTGATAAGAGGATGAAGGCACGTAAGAGATCGAAGTGTGGTCTTGTGGAGTTGTAAGAGATATGAGTGCGGTCTTGTGTTGATAGCGTTGGAATAGGAGTTAGTTGTTGAGGAGAGGCTTTATCTTCTCCTTACTTACATCATACACTCTACGAACGGCAATAAAAAAATTAGTTTAGTAGGCATTCTTGACCATGTCACTTCGCAGGGTCACAGGCTAGGGTGGATATGATTTGAATTTCGATAAAATTTCAATTAATTTATATATTTTATTCACTTTTTTTTTGGTTTTTTGTAAAATATCAGTGCCATAGGCTTCTACTCCGTTTATATGATTAAAATGTAAAAATTTTGTTATATAAAAAAGGTCATTCAGTATCACTGTTTTGTTAACTTCCTTCCGCGAGGGTTGCCGGCAGCGACTGCCTAAAGAAATCGGGCCGATGCGCCTACACACACGCAGTAAGGAGGGGGCGGTGCCCCGATCTAGGAAGCATCGGCTGATCTAGGAAACATTTTTGCTCCTGCCAGCCGATTAAGGAGGCGATATCGGCCACGACTTAGGATGGCCCTACATACGACACGATTTAGAGGCAATCTAGGAGGCATCCCCACTACTCCACCCTAGATCGCCACCGATATCGTGTCGTATGTAGCCCGCTTTACTCAGCTTACAACTCTGTTACTTCCAACTAGTAACAGAGTTGTTCAGTAACAGAGTGGTAAATTTTAGATTCCATACAGAATTAGTCATAATATAAGGCATAAAAGGAAATTATTGCTACATATTTGAGACATGCACACCTAAAACTCATGGATAATGTAAAATGTAATAGTAAATATTGATTACTTACGCGAAAATATTGGTAACAGTGTGGTTGTTGAATAAAGACACGCTCCTCCTTCCACAGCGCGCGGTCGACTGATTCGTGTCAGTCGTTCCCCCCGCCCCCGCGAACTTTCTCAAACAATTTTAGACACTGCACCGAGGTTATTGCAGGCGCCATAGTAGCGCTATCTGTATTTTTAAAGTGAACTACTATAGTAACAGAGTGTTGCTGTGATATTACATGGAACGCGGGACAGGGATTTTAAAAAAGTAAAAGAAAACAATTTAGAACAAAATTTTGTTTTAAAGCGTTGAACATGTAATAATAATTTCTATATTTATTAATCATAATTTTTTTTATATATCAATGTAGGAAAAAAGCAAGTTTTTCTACGTCTTTTTGCACTGTATTAATGTCTGGGACATAGTGAATTTGTATGGAAAACACCTCTGTTACCAAAAATAACCACTATGTTACTTTTAAAAAAGTGTGAAAAAATTAGCATAAAAGTTTATTTTATATAAAGTATGTTCAATTAATTTATTTATTCATTCACTATTACATTAAGTTCGTAAAATTTTTGATATTAAAACAATAAAAATATGTAAATCATGAGGGGACAAGAAAACCTGCAGAAAATTTGAAAATGGCCCATATACAAATTTTTAGAGACAAGAATGATGTTTTTTTTCGACCCCCAGTGATTTAATATATTATGTTTTCTGTCGACTTAAGAAGAGGTTCCTTAATAATGAAAGATTGGTTAGGAATGTGGGCGCATGCAATCAGTTCTCAGTCTTATAAGGTTCTATATATCGCTTTGAGCTTCTACATATTTTGTGCTAAGAAAATTCTTCTAACTTTTTTTTAAAATAAAAAATAATAACTAGGTACAAGCACTGATGCATTTACAACTCCGCTCGGGTATCGCCACCAGCTGCTTTGCCGGTGCCGAACGTGCCATAGATAATAAAAGTAGCAAGCTAAACGCTGCGTTGACACTTCAAGTGACACGTGCCGCGAAATATGGCAACGTCACGCAGCTATCATAAGTATCGATACCCGATATCGATAAAGGTATCGGTATTTTTATACCGGTATAAAACGTATCAGTACAAAATACTGATAATTAATCGAGTTAGTTAGTAGTTACTTATATCGATATTAATAGAGAAGTATCGGTATTTTCAAAATATCGATATCAGTCCCTGCACCTGAGACGCCCTACCTTTTCCTCTAGTGTGACAGGTACAATGCGATAGCAACTTCGGTCCTCCTAGGATTCTCTGTCTACGGGTCCTCCTTTACTCAAGTAGGGAAAGACGTAAGTCGTTATACGCAGAGGGTAGCGCTTATCTTATATATTATGTTATATAGGTAGACATCAGGTGGATCATCTGCTCGTCGTCCCTTCGCTTAACTTATAAAAACTACCAGTACTCACAAGTAGGTGAGTGAAATACGGCAGGAAGGGCCACGAAATATCTTCTTTGTACAGGGCCGGACTTAGAACTTTGGGAGCCCCTGCCCTAAGTAATAAACACGTTGAGCAGCTACTGCCTGTTTCTGCGTAGACCGAAGAAGAGTGACTAACCAAATTACACTCGCATTTTTGTTTCTAAAGTTTTGTTTTTTAAGTTGTATTTTTAATTTTTATGTGCTAGTGAAGGTGTAACAATATCAACTATCCTATGTCATCCCATGGATGTCGTAAGAGGCGGCAAAGGGAAACAAATCAGGAGATGAGCAGCAGCGTCTTCCTAATAACGACTAAAAATCTGCGGTTGCCTAACCGCTTGCCGAGCGTGGCAACTATGGCAAATATCCCCCGAGTTGATATTCAGCAGTGTACTTTAATAGGCTGCAACGGTGTAACGCTATAAAACAAAATCAGTGTTAACTGTCTAAAATTGCGTTCGAAGATTACAAAACAAAGAACTAGTTTTCTCGCGCATTTTCAGTCGACTAAAGAGTTACGGAGAATTGGCCGTAATTTAGTGCGCAATGTTTTACTAGTATACATAGAGAAGTCTGGGGCACACTGAAAGTTCTGCGCTCATAAATGTTTGAATTTCGAATTTAATATTTATTAAAACAAGAAACTCATAAATAGGTTAACTCAACATACTTTTTGGCTGGAAATGAAAGTGATAAAGAATAATTGACACGAGTTGATGTTCGTAATTGGTAGCAAAAATGGAATTAACGCAAAAATATTTTAAGACAGATTTTTTTATATTTTAAAAGTTCAGTCTCCACAAGAATGAACTGCTCGTTTACAATATGCTTTTGGGAGAGGAACACCTCATTTGAGCACCGTAAAGCGTTGGTACGCAGAACTTGATCATGATCGTGTTTCTCTTAATTATGAAATTA